AGATAGAAATGAAGTTTCTGAAGATACTTGGGGATGGCATTTCAATCAGTTTATGAAGTGCATACAAGGATCAAGATGTTGTGTCCTTTAGTTTGGTCACAGTCACTTTTCGATTTATATAAGTTGTTTGACCTAGAGAAATGCACTTTATCCGGAGCCGATAACATGCATGATAATTTCCAGATTCGGCATTCCAGCTGGAATTAGGTATAGAAGCACGATAGACGCAGCGGAGACAAGAGCCAATTGGCTAACCGTAGACATGGTCCATGAAGTAAGGGCTTGGCCATGAGAATTATCCGGTGCACATGTGGAACGGTGATGAGGGGATCTATAGCCGCAAGTTAGTCTTCCATCTAGCGTGATAATCCAGACTTTGGGGGCCTGCTCACCAAGGCGGGAGTAGACGTGCCAACAAGGACTTGAAACAGAGTGTGGGAAATAACGCCTCGAGTAGCACGGATAGAATGACAGTGCTTAGGCGGACTCCCTGAACCAGGGACTTAAGAGACGGATTCCACGAGACAAGAGGGAGACTTTGATAGGACCTATGAGAAGAGGATTGCGGACGAATAGGGCAGACTAAGATCAACATTCCCAGCACAAGAGTGAGGGAAGAGAAAGTTAATGTGGGGTGTGAGGAGTTTTTATGAAATCCTCTTAAAAAGGCACATCATACCACACTTAAATAAGCAATTAAAAAATTATGATAGTGAAGGAGTGGTACGAAGATATAGGATAAATGAATGGGCCAGGACAGAAGAAGAGATACGTCGATTGTTTAGCAGGCAATTGGTAAACTAATGGGCATCACTTCTCCATTTGAAGAGTTGTAGTGTGATGCTAAGACTAGCAAGGCTCACTGACAATGTCGGCGAAACGTCTGGGAATGTACCAAGCCCACCGTTCGACTCTGGAAATTATCATGCAAACTAAGGACTCCGGATAAGGTTCACTCCTCTAGGTCTTCTTGCCAGTATGACCAAGTTGTGAATGCAAAACAAACAAATACTGAGTAATTCATGTTGGAGTTCCACGAGTCTCACGAGTATTGCATGCCCTCAACACACGTGCAATGGAACGCAATCACATGCGGCATCATTGGCGGATCAAACAACAAAAGATAAGGGTTGTAGGGGAGGATGCAACTGTTCGGTCACATTTGAATCCACTCACATGCCATCCGCAGACACATGACTTTTCAATAGCATGTAGGAAAAACATAGGGTCTCCAAACAAATCGTGAGATTGATACTGGCGTACCTTTCATTTCGTTTGGGTCGAAGAGATTCATAGATTGGCCTCACCGGATATCGCAGGTATCTGTTGAATTGTGCGAAGAAGACCTCGGCCCATCGTCTTGAGACCCCAATGACTCCATGCTGAGCTTTCATCCGTTCTGTGACTGACATCGTCAGCGCCAGAAATCATTATTCACGAAGAATCGCCAAAAACACTAAACTGACCCGCCTTCTCAAACTAAATGAAAGGCAAGTCAGTATTAAGCTATTAAGGTATTCTTCGAAGCTCAGCTTCTCTTCAAATCACAGGATGTCTCACTAAGTGGACCTAACCAAACCATAAAAAGTAGGTGCGATTGCAGCCGTCCATCTTTTTTTCTCTTTGAGCTTGGTGTCCAGCTCTGACGATATCCGTAAATTACGGACGAAGGCTCATCATCGATTCATCGGGGTCGCGGGGCGGTGAACCAAGGATGAATCCACAATCCTCCTACAATTTCCGGTAAGGCAAACTTACGAATCCCTTCAACTCGCCTCATAAAATGAAATGAAAGGCACTCCAACATCAATTTATTAAGGTATTCTATGAAAACCAGTTTTTTTACATATCTAGGTAATCCACTTTTGCAAATCACAAGAAAATAATTTGGCAATAGGCCAATAGAGATCATCAAGCTGATCGGCAGTATGTTGTTGAATAAGAAAGTATCGGAAACGTCCGAACACTACATCGCATTTTGATCTAGGAAACAAGTGAATTCTATGAAAAAGTAATGGGAGAAAATATTAGGATTATTTCAACCGACTTTAACAAATAAAGAATGAGATAGACAAGTATCGAGGCTCACAATCAAGTTAAAGCCCATAATCTAATTATATCAAAAATTCAAATTAAGTCAAGCAATTCCCGAAAATAAAAAGAATAGAAAAAGATTGAGTCAAGGAATTTTATTCCCAAGGCAACAAACTAATAGTAAATGCAACTCTTATTCAGGATCTACTGGTAATATCGAAACGTATTCAATATTGATATAAGTAAAATGTGTGTTTTTCCTAGTTAAAGATGTTCGTACTCCAATAGCTCAATTTTGACGATGAGGGGGAAATAATAAAAAGAGAGGAAGAGATGATGAAAGGAAAGGGAACGAGAAGGCAGCAGAACAGGAGAAAAAGAAGTATCCCGCATACCTGCGCAATAAGAGCGTCGGATCCTGGCGTATCGAAGATACAGAACAAGGTTTCACCGATAAGGCCCAATTCTTCGCCGATGCAACACTTGGCGGCTCGAAGAAGTCCCCCAATTGTGTCCCGTTCGGACATGGCTTGCACACATGTCTTGTTCAAAGTGCATATCGAGACAGAAAAAGGAGGAGGCCATTCGTGAGTGTGCATGTGGGTGCAAAGCAAGGAAGAAGGAAAGGTATAAAAGAAGCATGAATTAATGATAATAGCTAGTTCTGTGATTTTATGAAGAGGTCCTATCAATTTCACATGAGGAAAATTTAGGGAGAATAAAAGCAAAAATAACAAATGCGGCAAGAAATAAATTATTACTCAACCATAAAATTTACTTCGTCAATGATCAAGTGCACAAATTCTGTCTCTAATAATTATTAAATTCTTCCCAATTTTGTCAGAGCTGAGATTATATCTCCTTTCTTTGCCCTATTAAAAAGTTATATCATGAGAATCAAGCCATATTCACCATGCGAAAAAAGGAGTAATCATTTGTCAGGTTGTTACTGCGGCAAAGCCCCGCGATTATCT